TTCCGTTGCGGGAAAACTGACTTTTATGTCCTGAAGCACTAATCACCCAAAAAAATTACCCCCACCCCGTTATATGGATTTAACTCTTTAAACGTACAATATGTTTGAACAGAAAGTCATTTATTTACCCACAATCGTCAATTGCAGTTTGCCTTTGGGCGGGGAAACTGACGTTTATTCACGGGGAATCACTAATCACCAAAAAATATTACCCCCAAAAACCCCCCGGGGCGTGAAAAGGATCTAACTCTTTGAACGTACAAGGTGGTTGTGAAGCAAAAAGTCTTTTATTGTACACAATCGGTAAATTTGCACTTCCTTGGCTGGAAAAACTGTACGTTTCTGTCACTGGAATGCACTAATCACCCAAAAAATATTACCGCCAGCCGGCGTGTAAATGGATTTAACTCTTTGAACGTACAATAGTGGTTGTGAAGCAGAAAGTCAGTTTTATTTTGCACAATCGGCAAACTGCAGCACCAACTGTGCACGACAGCCACCAAAAAAAAAGGGTGTATGTCACTTTAAATTTTCGATTTCTTTGATAGCTGTGGCCCTGAGTAACGATTCTGTGTCCCTGAGTAACGATTCTGTGTCCCTGAGTAAAAATTCTGTGTCCCTGAGTAACGATTCTGTGTCCCTGAGTAACGATTCTGTGTCCCTGAGTAACGATTCTGTGTTCCTGAGTAATGATTCTGTGTCCCTGAGTAACGATTCTGTGTCCCTGAGTAACGATTCTGTGTCCCCTGAGTAACGATTCTGTGGCCCTAAAAGTCTCTGTGGCCCTAACTCTGTCCCTTAATACAGACAGGTCTGTCTCTTTTGAATGACCAGAGGCTAATGGAGAATTCTAAGATGGCCGCGATTTATAGCTCCACCATTACACAGTGCTGGCTGGCTAATGCGATCACATGTCATGATTCATGACTCATGAATGCATTATGGGTCAGCGTGCCTTGTCTGCGCGCCTTCCCAGAGATCCCCGCCCCATCTTCTCTGTCCATTTTCTCCTGTCGCCACACATGTCGCCGCCATTTTTGGGAAAATTCGATTCGTGCATCCGAAGTTTGCTAATCTTCGGATTCGTCGCGAATCGAATTTTTCCAAATCTTCGGAACGAATTCCACTTCGTCATGTTCGATTCGCTCATCTCTAATCATTTTCCTTCCACTTCACAATTATGTGCCACTTTGTGTTGGTCTATCACATATAATCCCAATAAAACAAATTTACGTTTTTGGTTCTAACATGACAAAATATGGAAAATTGCAAAGGGTATGAATACTTTTTCAAGGCACTGTACTTCCAGCAGGTTAATGCACCATGTCACAAAGCTCAAATCATCTCTAATGACCTCCACAGTCACCAGATCTCAATCCAATAGAGCATCTTTGGGATGTGGTGGAAAGGGAGATTTGCATCATGGATGTGCAGCTGACAAATCTGTATCAACTGTGTGATGCTATCATGTCAATATGGATGAAAATCATGATGCTATCATGTCAATATGGATGAAAATCTCTGAGGAATGTTTCCAACACTTTGTTGAATCTCCGCCAAGAAGAATTAAGTTCTGAAGGCAAAAGGGGGTCCAACCCAGTACTAGCAGGGTGTACCTAATAAAGTGTGGCCGGTGAGAGTACATGTCAGAGTCTGCACATCCCGCCCTGTACTCTGGTGGGACGGCAAGTGGTTAAACAGTCACCCAAATCTATCAATTTCACTTTAGGTGGAAAATGGTAGGCACACGTCCCAATGTAATGATAAAAAGGGCCCCCTTTTATCACAAAGTATGTATGCAAAGGACATGTCGCTGCTACGGTCCCTGTTACATGGATCACAAAGATCTAATATGCAGAAAATTATTGTCTTAACCACATAAGTGCTTTTTTGACCTTAAGGTTTCCTTTATATTGGCTTCTCAATATAACCAATGCAGTAATAGAGAAGTTTCATAAAAAAACATTTTTTGCAGCATAACACGTTTGGTAGTAAAACAATACATTTTGTATAGAGATGTACACATTAGACCAAAAAGAGGGAAAACTGGTCTGAAAAGAAGAATGAGGGACAGTTGGGAGCAATAGTGGTAGGGACAGTTTTTGTAATCCTTTTCTGATACAAATCCGAGGCTGTGAATTTATTCCACAAGATCCTCCTTTCTTTGCTCTTGCAGTTTCCAATGTTGTGCTGTCATATCCCCCATTGATGGCTGTGGGGTTTGACACACAATTCGGACATATGGAAGTAACAAATACTAACGTGAAATTACTACATGCAACATTTCAAGGTGCTTCTTCTGTCCCCATTGCCCACCATGGGTGCTGTGAAATGACTTTAGTTCCCACTTTCCTGCATACCTACAATATGTTTAGACAACAAACACACATCTTGGCATACACAGTGGTTTACAAAATAACTGCAGATATCTAACACCTCAAATTCTTGTCGGTTATCTCCAGATTTATAGCATACAACCTTTACATGACTCTGCCTACTTGTCATAGGGAAATGACATTTTTATTGCATCCTACTTTCTTGTTTGCATTAATGCCTTCAGTTGCTTGGGTCATTTCACCATAATCCCACTACAAAAGCATTCATTGCATATGTCACCCATGGGTCAAGCTATTCATCTTTTTTTATCCGTGTAGCACGGTAGTGATTGCTTGGCTCATAACTGCACAAATAATATCAGAAATTTTCTAGCTTTTTTTTATACAGTAATTTATGTGTGCTAAAGTGTTACTAAACCCCACAACAGTAAAATCAGTTCGTATATGCAGTAATGCCTGCTTGTTATACTCACTGTGGAACCTAAGGGGTTAATCCTCCAAAGTGCGTAAAAAGGATTTTGATCCTGTCTTCTCTGATCCTCCCCTTCTTCTACTGTCCCCAATCTATCTGCTGATAGAACAGAGCCTTGGGGGCAAGCTGTACATGCTCCGTTTGGTATGTATTGCTGGAGAGTTTTTATTTTATTTTTCTTGGGAGAGTGCCTGTGATCAGCATAGAGACAATCAGCACTGTCCAGACAGAGGGTTAGGGGTTATGCAGCCTCAAAGGACAATCAAGGGGGAATGTAAACTCCTCCTACAAGCTTTAACCAGTGCTCAGCTGGACATTGATAGAAATCACAAGACTGCTATATACTACTGATGAGTAAGGGAATTAGCAGTTTTATATTTACTAAATAAAATTGCATTTCCATGTTCTGTGTACTGTGGGAGACCGGATATAGTGAATGCAGGGTCCTGGGTTTAGGAACACTTTAAGGGCCAATTCAGGCCAGAATCACACAGGAACACGTTCTGCATTCCTGTGCGTTTCCCGACTGTGCAACTCTGCAGTTCATTCATTTGAATGGGTTGCAAATCACACAGGAGAGCATGAAAAGTAACACATGTGCTACTTTTGAAAAATTTGCTCCATCAAATTGCATGGTACTGCAGTGTGTTTGCAATTTGCATTTGGGGTGTCATTAAAATGTATTGGCAACTGCAACAGATCACAAAGGCAGTGTATTTTGAATGTGGTGCTTTTCCTGCACTATGTTGTGGTGAGAACCGGCCCTTGAACCTCAGATATGAAATATGAACAAAGCATATCCCTCTATAGTGTGTACTTGTCTCAATCCAGAGTACTAAGTGTCATTTATGTCTGTTGCTTCATTCTTCTGCTATCAGCATGAGTCATTTCTGACAAGCCAATAGAAGGGGGTTGTGTCTCTTCCCTCCAATCAGCTCTCAGAGCTCTCCTCACTGAGCTCTGCAGTGTGTGATTACAGCTCTCCGCCCCCTGCTTTCTAAACTCTCAGATATGCATTATAAATTCTGGACTTTGAATGAATGTAGAGAAAAGAAGACTAAAGATAAACAGGCACAGCTTATGTAGGAGGATTTGTTTCATCTCTGCTTATCACCTGAGGCTGGTCACTTCATTGGGTATATGGAAGGATTTAAAACTACTTTAACCACCTTCCGCCCGCCCTATAGTACAATGACGGGCGCAAGGTGGTTCTCTCGTTCTGATAGGACGTCATATAACATCCTACCATTCTCACTGCGCATGCGCGACTCAGGGAGCGCGCAACACGGCAATCGCCGGTGCGCTGTGTCCCTCAGACACAGCGGATCACGGAAAGAGCCGAAGATGTCGGCTCGGTCATGTGATCAGCTGTGTCCAATCCAGGGGCGGACTGACAACTCATGGGGCCCCCAGGCAATAGGGGATCATGGGGCCCCTGTGTCCTTGCCCAAACTCAAAAAATCCTATGAAAAAGGTACCAGGGGCATCTCATGGGGCCCCCTACTGACTCCGGGCCCTCGGGCAGTGCCCGAGTTTCCAAATGGTCAGTCCGCCCCTGGTCCAATCACAGCTGATCACATGTAAACACGGAAATGCCGGTTATCGGCATTTCTCTCCTCTCGAGCTGTCACACTGACAGCTCAAGAGGAGAGGAGAGACGGTAATCGGCTTTCTGTGGAGGGGACATGTACACTGATCATCAGGGCACTGATGATCAGTGTGCCCTGATGATCAGTGTGGACCCAGAAGTGCCACCTGTCAGTGCTCATCAGTGCCACGTGCCAGTGCCCATCAATGCCACATATCCGTGCCTACCAGTGCACATGAATGCCACATATCATTGCCCATCTGAGCTGCCTTTCAATGTCACCCATCAGTACCAATCAGTGCCACCTATCAATGCCAATCAGTGCCACCTATCAGTGCTGCCAATCAGTGCCACCTATCAGTGTGCATCAGTGCCAGTCAGTGCCGCCTATCAGTGCCAGTCAGTGCCACCTAACAGTGCCAGTCAGTGCTGCCTATCAGTGCCAGTCAGTGCTGCCTATCAGTGCCATATATCAGTGTCATGTATCAGTGCTGCCTTTCAGTGCCCATCAGTGATGCCTGTCAATGCCCATCAGTGCAACCTACCAGTGCCTCCTCATCAGTGCCCATCAGTGCCACCTATCAGTGTCCATAAGTGCAGCCTATCAGTGCTCATCACTGCAGCCTCATTAGTGCACATCAGTGAAGGAGAAAAATCACTTATTTACAAAATTGTATAACAAAAACTAAGAAAATTTTTTTTTTTTTTTTAAATTTTCAGTGGTTTTTGGTTTGTTTAAGAAAAAATAAAAATCCCAGAGGTGATTAAATGCCACCAAAAAAAAAAGCTTTATCTGTCTCAAAAAAATGATAAAAATTTCATATGGGTACAGTGTTGCATGACTGCGCAATTGTCATTCAAAGTGTGACAGCGCTGAAAGCTGGAAATTGGCCCGGGCAGGAAGGGGGTATAAGTGCCCTGTAGGCTAGTGGTTAAGGACACCCACAGTTAGAGGATGCAAGCAAACCCAAAAATATATTCTATAGATACCTTCTTTAAGGAGTTCTCTTTGTTCAACAGCTTTCTGATACTGTAGCAAGATTGTAGTATCACATCTTACTAAGCTAAGTGGCTATTTTCTGCTTCTTTAGTAAATCTCCCCCACAGCCTTGTATTGTTATAAAGATTAGTAAAGAACAACCATTAATACAGCTAAGCAGAGAGCAGACCCTGTTTATGTACAAAGCAGATATCACTACCCCCACGGAACTACAAACTTTTTTTTTTCAAAGATTAGGGCCCCTTTTGCATGGGCAGCTTCCATTCCGATCAGCAGCAGATCCATGACCAGATTTTGTGATGAAAGAAAAACAGACTCATGTCAGGTCTATGGACTCAGGCATTGGTGCATTTAGGTTTTTGTGCTACCCTAGGCAACATAAAAATCAGGCATCCCCCCCCAACCCCACGGAGAGGGCCTGACATTGACCAACAACACCTCTGCTTACCTGACTGAGCCTCACCCCCCCCCCCCCCCGGCTCACCTTCACAGCTCCAAACATCTCTGGGAACAAGAGTTGGGCTCTCCATACACCATCAAGCAGCTCAGATCCCACCTGGTCCCCATGCCACATGTGTCCCTTCTTCCATCCTTTCTTCCGGGGGGTGGTGCTGCCCCCCTGAAAAATGCTGCCCTAGGCAAATGCCTTGTTTCCCTTGTGGTAAATACGCCCCTGGGCGCAGGTGGAACTACACAGATGTACATTCATTTACATCCATTTACCTCCAATCTGTCAGGATCTAGAATCTGAGAAATGGGAAAAGGACACCAACCTTTTCCATTGTTTTTCAGGCCTTGCTGAACTCAGAGGTATTCAGATGTGTATGGAGGCACGTCTGTTTACATTCACCTGCCCATAGACTTACAATAACCTGAAAGGACCCTAACACACATTGATAAGATCATATTCATCTATCACATTATTATTATTATTATACAGTATTTATATAGCGCCGAAGGGTGTGCTCAGCGCTGTACATTAGCGAGGGGGACAGAACATGAGATAATACAGTAACAATACACGAGGGGTTCAAGGGCCCTGCTCTTTCGAGCGTACAATCTATTGATATTCCTTATCTTTTACATTTGTATCTATCACATATTCCTTATCTCTTTTACATTTGTATCTATCATCATATTCCTTTTCTCTTTTACATTTGTATCTATCACATATTCCTTTTCTCTTTTACATTTGTATCTATCACATAATCCTTTTCTCTTTTACATTTGTACCTATCATCATATTCCTTTTCTCTTTTACATTTGTACCTATCATCATATTCCTTTTCTCTTTTACATTTGTATCTATCATCATATTCCTTATCTCTTTTACATTTGTATCTATCATTATATTCCTTTTCTCTTTTACATTTGTATCTATCATCATATTCCTTATCTTTTACATTTGTATCTATCATCATATTCCTTATCTCTTTTACATTTGTATCTATCACATATTTCTTTTCTCTTTTACATTTGTACCTATCATCATATTCCTTTTCTCTTTTACATTTGTATCTATCACATATTCCTTATCTCTTTTACATTTGTATCTATCACATATTCCTTTTCTCTTTTACATTTGTATCTATCACATATTCCTTATCTCTTTTACATTTGTATCTATCACATATTCCTTATCTCTTTTACATTTGTATCTATCACATATTCCTTTCCTCTTTTACATTTGTATCTATCATCATATTCCTTATATCTTTTACATTTGTATCTATCACATATTCCTTATCTCTTTTACATTTGTATCTATCACATATTCCTTTTCTCTTTTACATTTGTATCTATCACATATTCCTTATATCTTTTACATTTGTATCTATCATCATATTCCTTATATCTTTTACATTTGTATCTATCATCATATTCCTTATATCTTTTACATTTGTATCTATCATCATATTCCTTATATCTTTTACATTTGTAAAAGTTTTAGCTGAAGGTCCAGATTTTAGCCAAATGTGGCACAGGGCTTGCTTACACCTGCGTCACTCATTAGCAGCAGATCGCTTTTCATAGATCAGCATAGGTGCATTCAGGAGGTGAAACTACCGACTTTCTGAATGCCTTTTTTTTTTTTTAGGAGCCGAACAGGCTTTTTGCATAGGAATAATGCACCACAACCACTGCCTCATTCCTGACCTGGGGGGAAGGAGGGGATGGTTGAGGTGCGGTACAAATATAGTTCAACTGCCTATTTTTACCGACCTCAACTGCAAATGTAAATTAAGGTAATAATTTAACAACTTCCCTTCTGCCACAGCCTATAAATGGCGGACGCGATGCAGATTAATGTACCTGTGCATAAGCCTGCATCGGCGGCTCCTGCACGGCTCACAGAGCATGCACCCAGGAGCCTGGTAATCTGTGTGTCACCCATACACAGCCAGTAACATTACCACTGTGTCCGGGTGATCACATGGTGTTTTACCATATCATTGCTGTGTCCAATCACAGCTATCACATAGTAAACACTACAAACTGAAGTAAAGATTGGTTCTCTCTGCAATCAGTGTGAGAGCAGAGATACCTGTATAGTGAACTCGGTGTAGAGCAGGGGCAGACTGACAACTCATGGGGCCCCCGGGCAATAGGGGATCATGGGGCCCCTGTGCCCTTGCCCAAGCTCAAAAAAGCCTATGAAAAGGTACCAGGGGCATCTCATGGGGCCCCCTACTGACCCCGGGCCCTCGGGTAATTTCCAAATGGTCAGTCCACCCCTGATGTAGAGCTATTCACTCTGAGGTCATCACAGAGGACAAGGGGGCACTCTTTACGTCTGGAGGAAAAGAAATTTAATCTCCAAACATGGAAAGGTTTCTTCACAGTGAGAGCTGTGAAAATGTGGAATAGACTCCCTCAAGAGTTGTTTCTGGCCAGCTCAGTGGATTGCTTAAAAAAAGGCCTGGATTCTTTCTTAGATACACAGAATATAACTGGTTACTAACATTTATAGGTAAAGTTGATCCAGGGAATATCCGATTTGCCTCTCGGGGGATCAGGAAGGAATTTTTTGGATCATGCTTTGCTGGGTTTTTTTTGCCTTCCTCTGGATCAACTGTGGGTATAGGATTATAATTTATTTTTTCTATGGTTGAACTGGATGGACTTTTGTCTTTTTTCAGCCAGACTAACTATGTAACCGTTGTTGCAGCCTGTGCATGTACATCAGCCTATCACAGTGCATGTACAGTCACAGACTGCTGTGCCAGCCTGCCCCAGTGTCTCAGATCACTGCCCCAGTGTCCCTGATCTAGGGTTGCCACCCAGTGTTGCCAATCTACCAGACTGAAATTCACTGACATGACACCCAAAGTTTTTACTGGTATTTCCAAAAGTTAAAAAAAATCCAGTTTTAAGTGCAAATCTCAGTATTTAGACTACAAACAAGTACAATGTGAAATTCGCAATGTGATTTAAGGTAGATATTAAGGCAAAAAACATATTTCTTAATTTAATTTTGATATAATGAGTTATGTCTTCATCATCTATGCTGCTGCACACTGCTGTCAGTGTCACTGTGAGAGCCAATTTTTATGTGTGTGCCTGCCCATTCTAATTTCTTGCCCTCCTGCATCCTGTTCCTGAGCATTAGAATATGTTGTGGCAGTCTCTCTCCATTTTAGGTGGTCTTTTCAGTCCACTCCAGTCCAAACAGTGCTGGCAGTCCTGTGCCCGACTTGCCTTGATCCCGTCCTACAGATCTGCACACGAGGCTCTGTTCGGCTCCCTTGCGCCATGACATCACATGACATGCTTAGGCACTGCCTCTGCCAGACCTACCGCTATTACTGGTATTTACTGGCGAGAGAACAGTATGCATTTTTTACTGGCTGCCAGTAAAAATACTGACGGTTGGCAACACTGTTGCCACCTCATCCCTCGAACACCGAACACATGTTAATTACACAGGTCTTGTGGCTGATTAAGGTGGTAATTAACCCCTTTCCTGCTGCCCTATAGCAGATATACTATTACAGGGCGGCAGGGGTGCGAAAAATCACATATATATATGTGATTTTGCATTTCCCGGGTAGGGCGCACACGCGAGGCGCACACACTCCCTACCTGCGCTGTCATTCATGGCCGCGGCTGTCAATCACCGGGTCCCGGCTGGTGATTACTCACCGGCACCCGGTGATCGCCGAGCATTACCGATGGGGGGAGATAACTGTATATAAACAATACAGATCTCTCCCCTGTCGGCTCCAACACACTGCTTTGTTTGGCTTTGCATAGCACAGCCATACAAAGCAGTGTGGTTACAGTTTAAAACACACACACACAGTAAAACAGCACACAGTTAACCCTTTGATCGCCCCACATGTTAACCCCTTCCTGCCTGTGACGATCGCAGCGTCAGACCCAGCCCTTCTCACCAAACTCATGACCGAAGG